TGGCCATTCAGTTTCATTAATATTCAGCCCAAAAATCGTACAACATTGAAATGGAATATGTATTTTCCATCTATAGTCATCAAAACCCCAAATATTTGCGTAATTTCTCAATAAATTTGAAACATTTTGCTAAAGTGCAACCACTAAATTAATGATTAAAGTCACATCTACTCTGAATACTCTGAACTTAACACCAAATCAATGTCATTTGATAAAGAGCTATTACATATATTTTTCTCTCATTCCTTATGCCGCATGCCTCAGCAAACAGAAGAGCAGAACTGCATATCTTTCAACTAAATAGTAAGTAACCTCTTCCCACAAATTCGAGATTCATTTACGCGAAAAGAAAAGGCTTCTTTCTTCCCCTGGCCAAGCGTCGGGGGCAGAGCTTCAGCCGAATGAAGTGTTTGAGTCTGAGTCAGGGGAAAGGGAAAAGGAAGTCCAGAGATGGAGGCTGGTGCAATCCCGTGTACCAGTACAGCCAGTACCATTCCAATTCCAAGTCCAAGTCCGAGTCCCAATCCGAGGGCTCCTTTCCGACTGGGCTAAAACCATAAAATGCATTATTATGCTAAATGACTATAAAAATCACGTTTACAATCCATTTATGCCTGGGATAATAACCCATGCCCATACCCCCATACCCCCATAACCCATACCCCATTCCATCCTGCTTGGCAGGAGGCGGCGGCGCATCAGGGCATCAGCAGGGCTCTGGGAGGCAGCAGATGGACGTTGGACGGGCTGTTGGGATGTTGGCTAAAAACCCTGAAAGGCAGCATTTGTTTACGCCGCGAATAATTGAGTTATCTGATCTCCAGGTCTCAGTCTCAGTCCCAGAGAGCAACAGAGCCGCCACGAGAGTTGCAGTTGGAGCTGCAGTTGGGGGCCCAGGCTCTGGCTCTGGCTTTGCAGACACGAAAAGTGACTTTTGGATGGGGGATGCCTGCTGCAAACTAGGACCGTCTTTTCTAGGACTGAAGTGTGGGGTTTAGGGGAACGGCGGCTGCTGCTATGGCTATGAGGCAGACGGACAGTGGATGGTGGACGGGCTGGGGCACATTGCATGTTTTGGCACTGGCACTGGCAGCAGGTAGGTGTGGCAGCAGCAGCAGCAGCAACAGCAACAGCAGGGTTTATGTAGCAAATTGTTTGGGGGCACATTAGATGGTAACCACTGTCGTTCCCTGCCGTCTTGTACTTGTTCCTCTTGGCTCCTGCCTCTGCCAATCTTATTCCTAGCTCTCCTTCCTGCCCCTGGTTCCTGCCTCTGCCTCTGTCTCTGCCCCTGCCCCTTGGTGCTGCTCCTACCCCCTTGCCACTGTACCAGTCCATTGGTAATGACTTTATTTGGTTGCTGCGTTAATGGGGCGCGCTCTTCTGCTGCTGCTGCTGCTGCTACTCCTCCTTCTGCCTCTCCTCTACTTCTTTCTCCACTCCTCCTGCCACTCCTTCTGCTGCCTTGTGCATTCGATTGTCGGCTCGGGCAGCGCAAATTGAAAGCGCATTTCAAAATTTTTCACACCTGAAAATTATTTCGTTTCCAGACATCGTTTTTTCTTGACGGACTGCTCATCCTCATCTCAGCGGGAGGGTGCGGGAGTGCGGGGCAGGTCGACTGTCGGCAAGTGCAGCAAATTCCGAGTGCGGCTGCAAAACACTTTTCCCGTAGCGCCGTCCACAACAGAGAAAACAACAAAAAAGACAACACACACACACCAAAAAGGTGCCGACCATCCCAGCCATCGAACGTTGAACGTCGAAACTCGGACCATCGGCGGCAGCAATTAATCAAAATTTAATTTCAAATAGCGACGTTGACGGCGCTGCACTGCACTGCACACTGCACACAGTCCACACTCCACTATCGAAGCCGAAAAAATTGAATTGAAAAAACGTCTAAAGAGAAAACTGGCAAAAGAAAATGTAATTAATCACAAGACGGTTGGCTGTTGCTCGCTGTTTGGGAAAAATGAAAAGCCACAAAAACACGAAAAGCAGCATAGGTGCAACATGAGGTGGTGGCACAAACAAACAAAAAAGAAAAGCCGAAACAAAGAGGCATCAAAAGTCGACCAGTTTCCAGGTTATTGGCTGGCTAAGTAGAGGCGCCCTCTCTTGAAATCCGTTACAATTTATAGAACCTCCATATTTTCCAAAAGTTTACGAAGAAAAATGATATTGTTTCCCCCAATTTGATCTTTCGACTGAACTGATCAGATGCTTCCACTCATTTGTGGGTATTTATTGCTTGATTGTGGGCTGTGGGCGGGGTACACAACTTTTTAGACATAAAATAAAGCAATGATTGGGTGATTGAGTGTCCAAGCGTAAGCAGACAAACTAAAATAGTATTTCTCTTAGGTTTCTTCTTTTTTCATTGTCCATTGCTTAAATGCTTAACTAAATTCGAGACCTGTGGCTCCATCTAGACCTTAAAATTTTCTGCTATGAGCTCCTGATGGCGCCACATATCTGCAAAGCGTCTGAGTCGAGTGCCTCGACAATGTGGATACCCTTTCGACGGAGGTTCAATAATAAGAACATATGGAAAAGCGCATGTTTAGAGTTTTTGGAGACTGATTATTTCCAGCATGGCCTTTAAATGATAAAGTCATTTAAAGAGCCATAGAAAACATACAAAATAAATCTGATCAGTGAATATATTTACTCATCTATTAATGCTGATAGCAAAAATATACATACATATGTATATTATATTTGGGTCTAGAGGCACATCCTTGGATTCTTCAAATTAATTTCAACGATTCCGTTATACCCCCGTACTGAAGTTCACCTTTTCAAAAATGAATTTTTATTTCATTAGAAAATTTTGCCTGCATGTCTTCGCTGATTTCATGAACACTAGTTGGCGCCAACATTTATAAAGGCGCCATCTAGGTCACAGTAATAACGAATGCGCCATCTGTTGTGTACATAATTGAAGCAGAGCAGTGCCATCTTTTATGTAAAAACAGCACTAAGCGCGCGCTCTCTGTTGTGTATAAAATGAACTAGTGCAGCGCGCTCTGTCGTATATAAAATGAAGCTTAACACGCCCTCTTTTGTCAGAAAACAAAGATGAACAGCGCTTCCATGCCCGTGAGCGGCCACAATGTGTAGCTTCAATGCAAAAATGTGAGTTTGTTCCGCTAGAGGGTACATACTAATCGGTGGCTGTATATTTATCGTTATCAAAATTGCAGAATTTGAATTCAAATTCAAAATATCAATTTTGCCACCGGCAAAACAGAAAAGTATCTTATTATATAACATGGAAAATCCTATTTCTCGATTTGTTGAAAAGTTCAATTCAACAGTTACTGGTTTTAACAAGACGGTGTTACCCACCCAAATCCCCAGATTTTACACCACCCGACTTCGTTTTGTGGGGATAATGTTCAGCAAAGTTTACGACAGCAAGAATCATACCTCCCTCCAAAAAATAAAAGAATTTTTACGGTTTTTTCATTGTTTACTTTTTATTATTAAAAATTTGTCTTTATATTGCCTTTGTTGTTTTGCTCATTTACTGTGACCTCCCGGTACTCCTTCCTCTCCCTCTGTTCTCGGTACTCCATGTATCTCTCTATCTTCCGTTCGTTTATAATAATTTCCATAGACAAATATTTTTGGTTGTTTTCTTTTGTTTTGTTTCGTTAAATTGTTCGTTCATTCGCTGCCCGAAGCGGTGGTGGAGAGGGAAAGGGTGGCTGGGAAATATCAGGAGAACCCTAAAAATTAGTCCAATGGGATTTTCGGTTTTTTGTTTTGGTTTCGGCTTTTTTTTTTTGTTTGGATGGGAGGAGGAGGAGGGTGATTGCCCCCTCTCTTCTACACACACAAACACACACACACAAATGTCGTATACATATATATTTATACAAAAAGGAAATAAATACAACGTATAAACAAATCATCAATCATGAGCAATAATAATAATAATAGTATACACAAAAAAAAATGGGGCATGGTATGGTGTGGTATGCGAGGGGTTTTGGGGGAGCTTAAAACATAAATAACAACAAATCCGAAACCATAATTAGTCAACAATTGAAATAAATCTAAGCAATATGAATATATACATATACATATACATATATATATGCTCTTTGTTGGTGTTTCTGTTTCTGTTTCACTTTTCTTTTGTTTCTTTTTCCTACTCTTTTCTCTTGCTATTGCTATTGCTGTCCCACTCTTATCGATCGGTTTTGGTTCGGTTTTCCACCTCATGCTTTCGAGTATATTTTGACTTGAAGCATAAAGACCATAAAACAAAAGTCTTTGCTTAAACGTAAGATTGTTTTAAGATTGCTTTTACATTTGCTTTGCTCTGTCTATCCTTTCGGTTAGATCGCGATCTCTTCGCTCGTCGTGACACACATAATTCTATAAATATCAAATTGCAGTTTGAACAAAATACTCCCGACATAGTCGATTCAGACACCTTATATAAATCACAGCTAAAAGGCAAGCATAAAATTAATTAATGAAAAACGTAGGCCCCCATCCGGTTTGCGTGTTGCGGGGTTTTCGGTTGCAGGATGACTGTGTGGCTGGGTGTCGGGGGTTCTGCTGGGTGGCATATGGCTCCTCATTCTCAAACATATTTTTGTATGTACAATTTGTTTTCAGTTAATTCGTTATTCCGTTTACTTGACTACCGCATAATTTCTATAATATCTATAATAATATTTTTCTGTTTCGTGTTTCCGTTTTGTTGTAGCTTTTTGTTGCTCTTCTTTCTTCGTTCTTACTTCTTCCTGTGTTCGGCTTCGTCTCCACTGCCTCCTTTCCTTCATTAAATAGTTTTTATATTTATAGTATAGCACCGAGTACAAAAAAATGATCAATAAACAGAGTTTTGAATTTTGTGTTCTTCTTTCTTCCTTTTACTTCCTGTTCTCCTGCGTCTGCATCTTCTTCGTCTTCTACTTCCTCTGCTTCTACTACTTCTTCTTGGGTTTTATTTTTAGCAAAACTAACAATTTCCTCCATTTACTTATTTTACTTATTTAACGTTTTTTGTTTGTTTGTTGTTTCTTTTGTTCTTGTTATACAGAACGCTTAACGATTTTATGTTTCGTTACTTTTGTTGTTTTGTTTTTGCTTTGTTTTCGCATTCCTTTGTTTCGTTTGTTTAAATTCTACTACTTATGTAAGGTAATAATTTCTGTTGCTTTCGTTTACTTTTTTGCTTGTCACAAGCGAATCGCTTCCGAGTCCGCCTTCGCCATCCCCATTCTCCATCTCCATTTCCATTTCCTCCTACATGGTTCCATCGCCAGAAATCTAAAAGAACAAAATATATTCCAAAATTTATTTCAATAAAGAAAGGGCTAGAGTAACAGTATATTTGAATGCACACGTTCCAATAAGCGAACGGATCGATGTTTCATTTTATATCATTGCTTTAATTTGCGAAACACTTTAAATATGTCTTCAATTTGTTGGAAATTATGCAAAATATTTGTTCTTAGATGAATATACAACTGAAAAGCATTCCAATATCGTAGGAAAAAGTACTACAATTCATTTGGCAAGAGAACAGCTGCTGCTGCTAGTATGTGTTTGCTATGGGGGTGCTCTGCGACTCACCTGCGAATGGGAACTGTCAGACTCCACCTGCTCGGAGTAGCAATGCTTATAGTTAAGATAGTCTAAAAGTCTTCTTGGTAATGGCAACGTCTGTATTAGATCCTTTCGTATAACCGCCTTTAGTATAACAAATCTGAAATGGGAATGTAACCGAAATATGTACAGACATTAGAAATACAAATCAATTATTTTGGACAAACAATAGACACAAATTTTGTAATAATAAAAAATGGAATTGAAAATTTGGAAATATCTGAGGGCCTGGCTACGAGTGCGCTGTCCGCGTCCCCGCCAACCGTTGGATGCGCCCAAGCAGCATGTGGGACCGCCCTACAGCCGCAAGCAGCGGGCCAAGCAGCAGAGACGCGAACTCAGGCGATTGCAGGAGGCACACAAGGAGGGGAAGCCACCGCAGCAGCCGCAGGCATAGAGGAAGGACACGACACCCACCTGCACATGTGCTGCAAGCTTTGTACGTGCTTAAATCTAGATACTGGATTGGTTAATTGCACACGCATTGGTCCATGCTCTGGCCGGCGATGCAGAAAGAATAAATATCTGAAATAGTATAGAAAAAAAAGAGTGGAGATTAATGGATATCCGAGGGGGAAGCCCTAAGGTTCATTCTCACCTGCCGCTTCGCGAATGCTCGACAGCTTTCTCAATGAATTCGGTGATGGTTTGGGACTTGAATTTGGCATAAGAGCCAAAAGAGAAGGTCCCTAGAAGCACAGTCCATCAACATAAGTATGGGCCATAGCTTGGGTATAAGGAGTACTCACCCTGATCCTGTTCAATGCGCACATGTCGCACACAATTGTTCAGCTTGAAGCTCAGCGAGAAGATGTAATGATCGTCGGAGCTATCGCGTACAATAAACGAACCATCCGGCTCATTCGAGAGCACCTTTTCGGCTGCTTCCCCAGACAAGGGGCCCCAGTACCAGCCGTACTGCAAAGGGAACAAAGATTTGGCATAAATATAGGTCTGGAAGGGAATGGAAGTGTCCTTTTGCTTACATCTTTGACTTTTTCAATGCTTGAGGTAAACTGCAATGCACGCGGCTCTTGGCCACCAGGCTGCTTCTTTTGCTGTTGATCCTCCTGCTCGGGCTGTTCGACAGCTTCATCTATGGCATAGGCGGCTGCTGCTTGAAAGAAAGGAAGAACATGAGAGATTCTGTGGCTAGAAGAAGGGATCTATTATCTTTTTACCCTTCTTTGGTAATGGTGGCAGTGCACGCGACTGGAACTTCTTGAGTCCCTCGTCGGATGACGACTCCCCTGTGGCGGCTGGTGTTGCTGTGGCTGCTGCTGCTGGTGACGACTCCTGGTCCTGGCCTTCGGCCGTCACAGCTGTTGCTTCCACAGCCAATATGGCATTCGTGGCACTCGCATTGGCAGCTGCATTCGCTGCTGCCACAGAGGCGGCTGCGGCACGACAACGACTATGATGATTCCGACGAAAGCGAAAGATGCTGCAGAACTTTTGCTTGAGATTAAGCGTAAACTGTGACTTCTTTTCCGAGTGCACCACATGCTTGTTGTTCGGATGCTGCTGTTGGTGGTGTTGCATCTGTAGCTGCATTTGCAACTCCCCTCCGGGTGGCTTTTCCGATGACTGTTGTTGCTGTTGCAGGTTCTGCAGCTGCTGCTGTTGCTGTTGCGATGGGCGTCTGCTGGTTATTATTATTATTGTTGTTGTTGAGCTTATCATTGTCAAGATTGTGCTTGCTCTGTTTGCTCAGATACTTGCCACCATCGCTGGCAGAGCCACCGCCACCTGCGGGCGCAGCACTAGTCGAACGATTTGAGGTGCCAACACTGCTGCGCGTTCGCGCTGTGGTCGTTGTGGCATTCGTTGTGGCCGTGGACACACTCCAGATGGTCTCATTACTGGACTTGACCATCATCGGTTTGGGTCCCCCACCGCCGCCCGAGGATGCACAGGATTTGCCCGCATCCGAGTAGAGTGTGTGATAGAATTGCTTCACCTCGTCGAGGGTCATGTGCAGTGGCTCCGATGATTCGCTCGTTTGTCCCTGGCATTGGCCCAGTCCCTGTCCCTGGCTCTGCCCCACTGGTGTGCGATATTTTCCATGTTTCCCTGACTTTTCCCCATCCCCGTCGCTCGTCTCGGTCCCCGCTCCCGCGGCAGTCGTTCCTCCATGTCGCTGCTTGCGTTTGTTGCGTTTATTCCTTCTGCTGGCAGCCTTGTGGTATGGGGGTGCTCCTGTTCCCGCCCCTGTCACTGCCACTGCCGTCACCTGTCTCTCTTTCTCCTTTTCCTTCTCCAGTTGCTGCTGCTGCTGCTCGATCATGTCCACGGGAAACGCATAAATGTCCGAATCGATGGGCACATTATAAAAATCTGAGATCTCGCGGGTAAACAGAGCATCGTGGGACATGGCCTGCGTTATGAAGATGGAATCATCGGGCTTGTTTGCCGACGAAACATTCAGGGAATTGTGCGAGCTGCTCAGGCGACTGTTCAATGAATTTCTCGAGTTCGGACGCTGTCCATGCCCATGGCTGGAGGCAGCCGTCCCCCCGCTGTAGTGATGATGATGATGATGGTGATGCGGATGGCTGTTGTACGGTTGGTTGTAGTGCCCCTGACTGCTACTATTGCTGTTGTTGTTGTTGTTGTGGTAGTGACAGTGGCTCGTATGCCCACCCAAGGGGCTGTAGAGGGTGGCCTGCCGCCGCTGCAGACTCAAACTACTGTTGTCCGCTGGCGGTTGTCGTCGAGCCCCGTAATACAAATCGTAATCGTGGATTTCCGAGAGACCGGCAGCATTGAAATTGAAACGCTGCTGAGAGGCAGCGGCTGCCGCCGCCTTAGCACTCGCAATGCTGTCCTGCTCCGTGGGTATGGCCTTGAAGTAGCGCGTATGATCCTGATAGTAGGGGCACAGTGTCTGCTTAATCTTGATGATGGAGACTGGCGGCGGCGGTGAGGGCAATGGCGAGCAGCTGCTCTGATCGGAGCACCCCTCATCCTCCAGCAGATCCACGCTGTTGCCCAACGAGCTGCTGATGATGTTATTGGGCTCATCGTAAATGTTGTCCGTGTGGCTATTCAGGATCGAATCGCTCACATACAGATGCTTATTGATGGCATACGACTCCTTGAGGCTCAGATGGGTGCTCTCCATTACATCCATTTGGCAGATCTTTGTTTGGTTTTGCTCAGGCTCTGCTCTGGCCATTACTGCCACAGCTACAGCTGCAGCCGTCTTTGTTGGGGGCTCTACTGCCACTTTGGTGCTGGTCGTCGTCGTCACATCATCTTTCAGATGCTCAAACGATGACTGCGATGAGGTCCAACGCCGCAGGCTGTTGACAATGTTCTTGGAGATGGAACGCACAAGCGTTGTCTGTGGCGAGTCCTGGAACTCGGGCGGCGGATCAATGGGTGCCAATGGACCCTTTTTCAGTGTATTAAAGTTCTCGGCACTCATGCCCCCCTCCGAGCAATTGTCCAGCGAATCGAATTGTGAGACCTCGCCATCGCTTTCCACCATCTGAAACGGGAGCAGGAAGAGGGGAGATGGGAGGGTTTAGCATTCGATTGAAAGGATCACCACAGATACAGATGCCGGCTCTTACCTCAATTTCAAATTTGCACATTCCAATGCGATAGGAATCACCGCTGGATATGGAGCTATTGGTGGTCAATGGCACACCGCTGTCATCGCTCAAGGAGGCGGCCGCATTCAGCTCGATGCTGTTGGCGCTGACCAGCTCATGATGCGGCGGTGGCATGATGCTGAAGCTATCGCTGCTGCAGATGCTCGATACACAGACGCCACCGCTGCTGCCACCGCTGCTGCCACCGACACTGCTGCCACCGCCTCCTCCTGCTGCTGCTCCTGCTCCTGCTGCTCCATTGTTGCCATTCGAATTGCTGCTGGGATTGGAGTTGTTGTCCTTAAGCTTAATGGACGATTCCATTTTCTCAGAAGCGAGGCGATAGCTGTGCAGAAAGACAGAGGATGGAGAGGATGAGTGGGCGCCTCCAAATAGTTAAAGTTTTTTTATATCACACATCCATCCGACACAGCGGACTGTGTGGCAGACTCTGGACTGTGGTGGACTGCAGGCGAGGCACAACCTATGACCTTTGGGTGCGGCGTCGTCGTCGCTTGCTACTTGCAACGAATGCAATTGAAGGTCAATGACAGTTGCGTGCGCCGTTTTTCGTCCTGCCACCCTCCTCACCCACAATCCAACAGCCTCCCCCGGCCCCGTGTATGCTCCTTTACGTGCTGCACCCAACACACACTCGTGCTACCAAAGACGGCACGGCACGCGGGGCCCGCACCTCCATCAGCGTCGTCGTGCGGCTCGTGTGCTGCTTGTGCGCAGAGAAAATTGATGGCAGGAATTTTTTGGGCGGAGATTCGGATTTCAGATTCAGGATTCTCCAAGGGAGAGGGTTGGCGTACGAGGGTAGGGGGCGACACTCTCCAAAGTAAGAGAAGAGGAGATTTCCAATTGGAAATTGAAGTGCGTAAAAAAGTACCGCTAGCCGCCTGCAGCTTCCTCACTCGCAGAGACTCTCTCACACACACACACACACACTCTCTCTCTCGCTCAAAAACACACACATTTGTATGACGCAAAGAGGCTCCTAAAAGGAGTAGCCGGAAAAATTTAACGCGCTGGCCGCCCCACACACACACACACACACACACACTCACACATCCTTCTTGTCGTGTGCGATGTCGTTTTCGTAGTACGTCGTTTGCTAGTATTTCCCCCTCTCCCACCACATCCCCTTGTGTGATAGCGCATTTTTATAGGTGTCGCTTTTTTTATAATGCATTTGGCATATACCAGGGAGATAGAGAGTGACAGAGAGAGAAAGGGGGAAATGGAGAGTGCAGCCAGCGATAACACAAAAATTCGTATAAGAATTTTATCACTTTGTATATACACACAAAGCTAAACACAAGCCACCCACCCACTCACTCGCCATGCACATGCATGTAACACCTTTGCTTAATTTAATTATTGCTCTCCTGGCTCTCGCGTACACACACTCGCAGGCACACACTACACCCATGCACACACTAATACGCACGCCAGGCCAGACACTCACACACACACCACAAACACACCTACACAAATGCATTAGCATTCATTACAATTCTCCTCCAGTTCCATAGCATGGGTGCACTCACTACACAATTTTCATACATATGTATATTGCACTTGCCTGCCTCTGGGCTTCGGGGCTGCGCCTTTTCCTATAGTTTGCACTTTTCACTTAGCACTGGCACATTGTTAACAACACACATATTGATTAATTGCACGCATTGCAATTGCTTTTCGGCTGCTGAGTTCAACAATTTCAGCTTTCTTCTTGTCTCTCTCGCGCTCGCTCACTCACTCACTCTCTCGGGCTGCGGCCTTCCTGCTTGCTCTACCACGACATTTGCCATCTCTCGCCTCCTACCCCCGCCAAACACACAAAAAAAATTACTTACATTTTCGGCAGCCACATCCCCACTCATTTTGCACAATTTCTGGTTGGCAGTGCGGCGCTCGGCTTTTTTAGTTGCAACTTCACTTTTCTGCTGCTAATCTCACGGTCTATAGTTTTTTTAATCAACTTAACTTTTCACCGCAATTTTTTTTGTTTCTTCTCGCTGTGCCAGTGTGACCAGGAACTTGCTGAAAAAAAATACCCAGTCTTACCCTCTGAAATATACCGAAATACACCTTTTCGTTTTCGAAATATACCGTAAAAATACCTAGGGACACGACAATATTCTTCGATGTTGATATTCCGTTTAACATTACTAGCTAGTTGGCCCTCTCAGCCGTAAACAAATAATTTTATCATATAGATACATAAATTTTCTACAAGATTGGCAAGTTTTCAGAACTCCTTTTCATTTAATTCTTTACATAATAGGGTTTAAACTAAAACGGCCAAAGCATAAAACGTAAATGTTGATTAAATGTGACATCAGTGTTGCTGGTCAACCAAGTTTCTTCTATGCGTATTTTTGTATACCTTATTTCTTTTAATTGATGTTAAATGTTTTGTTCCAAGCTCCATTGAAACACTATTTATGATTTTATCCTAGATTGACATGTTTTTTACCTATTAATGCACATGTTTGTGTTTTATATATACATTTATACCGGTTCTAATACCTATTATTGGAACCCGTGAGCTGCAAAACTTTGTTAATATCTTTAGAGCAGAGACTGAGTAGTTTTTGCATTAATTGGTGCCTGAAACTACAAACAATATCTCAAGTCCATAATATCCATTTTCCCAAGCTATGCAGATTGTTGCTCATTCCGTGCCAAAGTTGCACAACAATGTTGCTAATTTATTTCCCCATGTTGCTGAAATTTTTCCCATGCAAATCAAATGTATCATACGGGAACCTCCCGTAAGATACATTTGATTTTGTATGGGAAAAATGTCAGCAACATGCTGCCACACCACGAAAATGAGGGAAAAGTTGGAAAACCCCCACAATTGAGAGCGAGTTTTGCAAACTCTCCACGAATTGAGAGCGAGTTTTGCAAACTCTCCACGATTTGAGAGTGAAAAATATCGATATTTTTGTGCGCTAAATGGAGTTTGGCGGTCATTTTGAAAAGTACTTTAATATAACTTAAAAATATACCTTCTGATTTTCAAAATATATCGTAAATATACTAAGGAAAAAAACGAACTTATTTGAACTTTATTTGAGACGGTGAACACTTTGAGTTAAACAGCGAAAAATGTAACTGTTTGTTAATCTTGTGGGTCCATCCTTTCTCTTTGTTACTAAATAAAAATGACCACGATACAATGTTTAAAGTTTCATAATATTCGTGCGATTAACGAAATACCCAATGTCGACCAGTGGGCTAACGTTCTATTTTGTTGATCGAAATCATATTCCCTATTTTTGATATTCGATTTAATATTACTAGCTAGTAAGACCTCTCAGCACTGAACATATGACGTTTTCCAATTCATGAATAAATTTTTTACAAGGTTGGTTAATTTGAAGGACTCCTTTTTATTGGATTGCTTACAAAATAAGAATTAAGTAATACACGTCAAAGCCTAAAACCACAGACAATACAGACGTAAATACGATAAGTTAGCAGCTTCAGCAACTACGACGATAAGCAAAAAGTAATTTTTATCAATTGGCCAAGCCGCCAAATGTGAATATGAAACGATAGTTTCCCATCAGGCAGCTGTAACTTGCGCTGACGAATTATAGCAGCGAGCTTTTCGCAGCGAGCATGTTAGCATGCGCGCCCTTTCCGTTGGAGTTTGAAAAACGATTTGCCTTGCCAGCGGGCCTGGAAGATAGAATTCTCGCTGGTTCATTTCCTTCCGCAGGCCAGCCATGGAATGTTGCTAGTATGTTTTGCGCGCATTCACTTGCATAAATTGCTTACGAGTGTCCACTTGGTTGAGCCATCAAAAACGTTATTCATTTAAACTGATTTCATTGTAGCGCACTCGTTTAGTTGCTTCCCCACATTCTCTTTATTACAATTCAGCCGTTTTGATCTCCGCGTACTTATACTTACAATGCAAATTAATTGAATTATTTCAATTTACTACCCAGCATTCACTTCATATGATTTTATATTACTTTCCCTTCCTTTTTTTTTCTTTTCTTTTCTTTGCGGTTCACCATTTTCGATTGCCGCTCATCTGATTATCATGCACAAGCGACCCGACCCCAACAACTTACTGGCCTGCCGGCCGCAAGACTGCGAGTAACCAGACCAGTGATGCCAACTATTTTTTCACAAAAACAGGATAAACTGGCAACTGGCCTCGCTTCCTGGCGACAAGCTTCCCTGGTCTTAATACACTGGAAATTAATTTTATTTGCCTGTGCGAAAGGTAATGCATCCTGCACATGCCTTTTTGTAGCCATATCTGCACGAATTTGGTCTATTTTTGAGTTAGTACTGCTTTGTTCGCATCCACTTAGTCGCGGCACATCCAGGCTTTAAAATCAGGTTGGCAAAGCCACGAATCGCGGAATTTTTGCATATAAGCTTCCTTGGGCATTCTTAAAAGACACTTTACGCAAAAAGGCTGAAATGGCATCACTGATCCAGACAGACGCATAAACATACAAAAATATGCCAACAAATTTCCACTATCTCGAACTGAATCATTCAGATATAGCCTCAGAGCTAGTACCATATCCACGCCCATTCACGACGGACCTCTGATTCGTTAGTGGATATGTACAACATGCTTGATAACGGGCATCGCATCGTCTGGTGAAGATCCCTGTACTTGATCAAATTCACAAAAATTCAGCAACATCAACAGCACTTGAGCAGAATAATGCAGTAAATGCTGAGGCATCTACATATGTATGTACGTACTCGTAGCTACCATAAATCAAAGCAAATTTCTGGTATTGTTTTTGATGGTCCCAGAGCTCTTGAGCTTGAGTCCGTCCAAGTGATGTCACGTCACGTCGGCATCAGCATCGGCATAGGGATCAGCTTTGACTTCGGCTTCGACCGAGCACCCATACATGCCACCCACCCACCCACACATTCATAAAGCCACCAGAAAACCCACCTAACGTCGTCAACTGAGACAAATCTAATTTACATGATCGCTCGCATTATCGTCCATTGTATTATAATCATCTGTGACGACGTCGACGTCGACATCGACCTCTGCTGCCGTCCCCAGAACATTGTTGTAGTCGTTTTTTTTTTTTTTTGTTGATCTTATTGTTGTTGTTGTTGTTGCTGCTGTTGACGGTGGGGCGAGTTCAGGTTGGCGCTTCCTAAGTGGATGACACTCAAGCTCATTGAGCGCTCCATTGTAGGGGGATGGCATGGGATTGGATGGGATAGGATGCCATTCGATGGGAATGAGAATGGGTATGTGGTGGCTTAAGGGATGTTGCAGGGGGGGCTGGAGATGAGGCAGTGAGCTGGCAGCGCTACTCTGTCACAGCTTAAGCCTCAGTGCTGCACCTAGCCTGACTGTGGCAGCAGAAGCATAGTACAACAACATCAGCAACAGCAACAGCACGAGTAATAACAATAACAAATAAGAATAACAATAGCAGCCACAGCCAAAGGCAGCACCGAGAGCTCGCACCGAGAACTAAACAATGCGAAATATCGTTCGTTCTCAGTTTTAAAGTTCAAGCCGCGACATTAACACACGAAATCTGTGATTATCCGACACCGCAAAAGTAAAGCCTGTATCTGTATCTGAATCTGAATCTGCAACTGTATCTCAATCTCGACACTCGAAATTAAATAACAAATCCGAATATTTAGCAAGCCCCCCGTCGATTAGGTGATCGATCTGCCTCTTCGTTTTCCGACCACCACTCGTATTGGTTTCCATTCAACGCCAGCCCATCCGATCCGATCCAATACGATTCGAAACGTTTCTAGAGCGTGAACCAATCAATACAAATGCACTGCAACTAAACAAATTCAAATGTAAAAACAAACAACAAATATAAGAAGAACGAACAAAAGCCAATAAAAAATCGACAGGCCATCGGGCAAATTAACAACAAAATAAAACCTAAACTAAAGCATCGGATCTGGTACGCAGAGATACGCAGAGATATTATAAACATATTACCAGTGCGAAAATCATCGATAAATTGCGGATTAAGTGATTTTTTTGTTCCGTTCCCATACAGAGAAATCAGTCAACACGAATCAAATACGAGTATCTTAGGAATTCCAGCTGCAACGGAAAGATCTCAAGGAACACACTCTTAATGATTGTAGATCCCAATCTCAGCAGTATAGGCCCCAAAGTAAGGCTCGGCTATATCCCATAATCATCTTACACATTTCGAATGCGGCACTGACTAGCGGGGGGAGGGGGTGGCGTCGCGTCTTTCGATTGTCTATGGATAGGGCAGACCAGACCGATTTAAGATGCAAAACATTACTGGGAACAACTATAAAAGGTATGGAGAAGGTGGGGGTGGGGGTCGGGGTCGGGGTCGGACCAGTCGATTGGTCTAATATTAACATACAATTTGATTGATAAATCATTTCATATTCAGCACGGAGAATAACACAAATAAATATTGTGTGTGTGCCTGGTTTTGTTTACTCGAAAATTTGCATTTAAATTGTGGGAATATTTGCACTTTGCTGTTGTTCCTCTTTATATTTACATGCTAATTAAAATTGGAACAATCCATAAATAGGTACTAGGGGGAAGTTTTCTAGAACTTCCCTGTGGGGGGATGGCGTTGCACGTGTCGTGGCAAGTTTTTCCCCTGCAGAAGGAGTACGAGAACTTCAACAAAAAATTACTTACTCACCCATAATCATAGTCGGTATATATATATATAAATATAGCCTCGCCCTAGGCGTCATCCAATGTCAACGTCAGTCTTGTACAGCCTCGAAAGACAGAGATACAGAGAGATAGAGAGAGAGAGGAGTATATATTTTTATCCCAGTCTCGGTATTGTCTGGTGCGGTCTGGTTGTAGCTCTGATCTGGCAATTTCCAGACCAAACAGGTCTCGTCCACCTTGCTCAGTCTCTCCAACTGTGCTCTAACCCACCGAGAGAAATGTTCTCAAACACCTAGAGACATTTTCTCAAACATCGAGAGAGAAACTTTCACAATGGTCCCTGTGCTCTGTGCTCTCAACCA